AAAAAAAAAAGTCAACAACCCAAACCTATCCATTCTAATTGATTGTGGTTCACTGAGTTTGACTCTAGCTTCATATTTGGCACTGCAAATAAACAACCCAGGCAAGCCGAAAAGGGAGAGCAAATAAGACAACAGRGAAGGGGATGGCTTCTCTTCAGGGGGAGAAAACACAAATATAGATGGTGCCCGGGTGGTGGCGAGGGTCYAGGCTGTGCATGTGCACAACGTTTCCTTGTTTGGAGACAGAGGGAGGAGGGGTAAAGGAAAGAGGTTGGTGGATTCGTAGGTGGGAAGAAAATGCTTTTCTCTATGAAGAAAGAATGATAATTAGGCAAAACCAGGAGAGGAGGCGTCCGACCCAGGTGGAAACAGACATCTGAAGAGGCCGGGATCTGGTTCTGTGTTTGCCTTGTAATTCATCTGCTGACCCATTAGTCTCCCTCAATTAACTGCAAGGGCCTCAAGGGCAATTGAGAGTGCTCATTTTGAAATGTTTAAATAACAAACAGAAGCCAGGAGGAATGACGCTGGCTGGCCTCTCTGCCTTCCCAGGGTCCCCGAGGTTGGAGAGAAACAGGCAAACGTCCACCCGTTCACTCTCCCTTGCCATCTGTCCTTTTTGCTGCCGATAAGGAGCTTTCCAGGCCAGTAAGGAATACACAGACCGAATCGCTGGGTAGCAAACCCATTGAGAGCTTCTCGTGGGCCAGGGCTGGGCTGGGAACAAAGATGCTGAGATGCAGAGAGGCAGAGCAGGGGCTTCCCCCCCAGGGCACCTCGGTTCCTCCCTTGACCTCGAGAACCAGCTCAGGGACCACTGTCCAGAAACCATCTGAAAAAAAAAAATCATTTTATTTTCTGTTTTCCAAGGACTCATTGGCCTTTGATTCTATAGTGATGCTTTTGGAACTTGGAGGTCATGGGTGGTTCAGGTTGAGGTAACCAAGGGTGGATCGAAAGGGGACAGAGGGGGCTGGGGATGTAGCTCAGTTGGTAGAGTGCTTGCCTTGTATGCACAAGGCCCTGGGTTCAATCCCCACCACCACCACCACCAAAAAATAATAATAATAATAAATAAATAAATAAAGAGGGGGTGGGGACAGAGCTTTTCTGGGTGGAAGAGAGGTCTTTAACTCCTCGGAGACTCCACTGAATGAACTCTCCAGAGCCTGGGACACTCCCACCTCCAACTCTCTGTCTTCCACAAATGCTAGTTTGTGGCGGGCGGGGCCATGTTTTGGCTTCTGCCCTGACCCCTTGGGGCATTAAGTCAAGAGTAGGTGTATATGAATATGCACAAGTTAAGTGTGAATACATGTGTATTTATGTGCATCTGCACATGTCTATGTGGGAGTGTGTATTTGCACACGTGTGTGGTGGATGAGAAGGTATGTGAGCATACATACATGTGAGAACATGTGTGGATCTATGCGGGGCGTAGGATCCATTTTTATCAAATCGAGTCCTAAGGAGAGAGAGACAGTTGCCCAGGAATCCTTAGCTCTCCTCTTTGAAGACAGAGGATAGGGCTGGGTCTGGGGGGCAGCACAAAGCCGGAGGGGTGGGGCAGCGGAGGGTGAGCAGGGGTGGGAGAGCCTCGTCCTGCCTTCCCGCAACATTGAGGGGCCACTGAACAGCCTGCCGCTCCCTCTTCTGGGAGGTGGGCAGCTCAGCCAGGCTCCTCTCAGACAGGGAGGCCATCGGACTATTGTTTTTATCTCTTGGTGGTAACCACCATCCCCACCGCTCCCCCACTGTGCCTCACCACAGCCCAGAGGTCCTCAAGCTGCTCCTTCTGCGTCCTGCTTTAGGGCTCACAGAGGTCTGAGCTGTGAGCAGGCTGCTCTCCCAGGCTCAGACCAGAGCACACCCGCATTTCTGTTCCCACCAAGTACATTTCCAAGCAAGGCTTCCTGTGAGTGAAAGACCCTCCTAACAGCATAAAGGACACCTTTGCTACTTCCAGCCCCCGGGGGCATGACAGAGATGCTTACTGATCCCAGTTAAAAGGCCAAAAAGGTGCCCTGAGCTGCGCCTAGAGCAGGAGCCCTGGCCTTGCTCTGAATGCAGATGTAGATGAAGGTCCCTTCTTGGCCTGGCTACTTCTGACAGCAGCGATAGTGGGGCTGGGAGGGAGCAGGTGGGTGGTCTCCACCTGTACAGGCCTGGGACGGGCGCATTACTGAGAAGGCTCTGGCTGCTTTAGGTCTCTAGGTTGTCCCCAGGGCATCTCCTGGTTCTATCCTGTCTCCTCTGACCACATGCATAGGGAGTTGGATTCTGAGCTCTCCTAAGGAGAGCTCTGGAAGAACCACATCATGGTCAGTGTTATAGTCAATGGTCAATGGCAACAGTACCAGGCAAAGTAGCTAAGGAGTCAGAAATACACGAGGAGGCTGAGCGCAGAGGTGCACACCTGTAATCCCCCGGGAGGCCGAGGCAGAAGGAATGCAAATTGGAGACCAGCGTCAGCAATTTAGTGAGGCCCTAAGCAACTTAGTGAGGCCGTGTCTCAAAATAAAAAAAAAATTTAAAAAAAAATGAAAAGAACTGAGGATGTAGCTCAGTGGTAGGGCGCCACTGAGCTCAATTCTCAGTATAAAAAATAATGATCATCGTAATAATACACGGGGCTGGGGTTGTGGCTCAGTGGTAGAGTCCTCGCCTTGCATGTGAGAGACCCTGGGTTCGATCCTCAGCACCACATAAAAATAAATAAGTGAAATAAAGGTATTGTGTCCAATTACAACTAAAAACTAAATAAATAAATATTTTTTAAAAATTAATAATACAGGTCGTGCCTTCAAATAATTCAGTCGCATGGAGCTGCCTTTGATCAGATTACTCGGCCCGCCTGAGCTTCCGTTTCTCCAGAACCACCATGAATCCTGAATGAACACTTACAATGTTCTTATGATAAGTATCTTACATCTATCGACTCATTTAACCTCAGTGGCAGGTCTATTTTACGGGAGAGGAACATGAGACACAGAGAGATAAGGTAACTTGCTCAAGGCAATAATGGCTGGTGAGAGAGAGAGAGAGCTGGGATTCAAACCCAAGCGGTCCCCCTCTCAACTCCTGCACCCTAAGCACGACTGTGAGGATCCTTTGAGCCTCATGCCTGCAAAGTGCTCAGCACGGGGTCTAGCCCAAAGCAAGAGCCCTACGGAGGTTCATTTTAATTATTAATATAGGTGTATCTTCCACTCCTGCCCTCATGCACTCCCAATAGAGCAACATGAATGACGGATGTCCCCAAGTCTGTCCTCCAGCCAGAGTCTTCCTGTTGAGACCCAACTGACCACTGGTCATTGGTTTACTTTGGTGGTTCATGCATGCCTTAAACACACCAAACTCTGTGGGCATTTGCAAAAGTAACCAGATTCTGTGATTCCATAAAAGTCTAGTTTCTACCACTTGACTCTGGACTCATCCTATGACTTTGGCTGCTGAACTATTAAGAAATAAATACTTGAAAAGTGCTTGCTCATTGGAACTTGCCTTCCCTTACAGGATATGGACCAGCATGAACAGGCCTGAGCCAGCAGGTTGGGGTGAGAGACCTGGTGGAGGAGATGCAAGGTGGCCCCCAGACACAGAGATAGACCTCACACGCCACCCTGAGTGAGCACGGGTCGAGATCGGCTGAGCCTGGTCCAGATCAGAAAACCCGGCCAGACGAACCAGCCCACGTGGCTGACCTACAGATTGGGAGTTAATAAATGGTTGTTGTTTGAAGCCATTTAGTTTTGGGGGTGGCTTGTACCCAGCAAAAGCTAACCGACGACGGGATGTCTAAAACCGGAC